ATATATATATTCATCTGTTTCTACTCTATCTCTCTCTCTCTCTCTCTCTCTCTCTCTCTCTCTCTCTCTCTCTCTCTCTCTCTCTCTCTCTCTCTCTCTCTCTCTCTCTCTCTCTCTCTCTCTCTCTCTCTCTCTCTCTCTCTCTCTCTCTCTCTCTCTCTCTCTCTCTCTCTCTCTCTCTCTCTCTCTCTCTCTCTCTCTCTCTCTCTCTCTCTCTCTCTCTCTCTCTCTCTCCTCTCTCCTCTCTCCTCTCTCCTCTCTCCTCTCTCCTCTCTCCTCTCTCCTCTCTCCTCTCTCCTCGCTCTACTCTCTGCTCTCTTCTTCTATATCTATCTATCTATCTCTCTCTTTCGTCCATATATACCATATTATATACTCCATCTAGCTATCTCCCTATCTATTGCCCAGTGTCTATATTATCTGTAGATTACCCTTTTGGTGGTGTTCTAATAGTGTGATATGTATATATATTTTTGTGTATATATTTATATATATGTATATGTATATATATGCATATGTGTATATATATATATCCCAGTGACGCCGGGTGTACAAAACAAAAACTTTGAGCGTGTGAGTAGGGGACATCAGCTCATAATCACTGCCTCGCCACGCTTTGGTGCGCCGCCGCGGTGTACAGCTGCACGCCAGCTTTCGAGCGGTTTGTTTTCACGCCGATCGGCGTCACCCGGCACCAAGGGGTTAAATGTATATGTATATATATACATATATTTATATATATATATGTATACATATATATATGTGTGTATATATATGTATGTGTATATATGTGTGTTTATATATTATATATATATATATATATATATATATATATACATAAATGTTTTTGTATATGAAAAAAAAAAAATTTACAATGTAAGCAAGTATGTTTTAATTACAGAATGCAGCAAGTACTAATGAGGAACAGAAATTGGATAATAAGAAAAATGACAAGGAAGCTGACAAAGAGAAATCACAAGAAAAGACCAATACTTGGTCAATCTCATCAATATTTGGCTGGAAAAAATCCAAACAAGCAATACTACCAGATGATAAAAATCCATCGGTAAGTGTGAATCTTAACCCTCTAAACCTATCTTCATTCTCTTTGTAAGGTTCTTACATTATTCTATTGGCAAAAAATAGATTGAACAGCAGCTGCCATCATTACAGTGTTCATTAGATTTTGCTCTAATTTATATGCCTCTCCTGAAAAGACTTTTATGTAGTCACAGTCAGTATATCAGACTTGTTTCACTGTCATGTGAGTTCTCTTCTCTTCTGTTTTGCTTCATTGTTTTAACACAATTGCCCTATTTGGCAAGAATACCTGCCATGCCCATTGTAATACAAGCTTATTTATTGTATTTACTCATAGATGGCTCTACAAGTTTTTAATCACCAAATAGCCAGTAATTCGAACTTCCTATCTCATCTGTTTACCCTATTCCTTCACTTTAGGAAAGGGTCTTTTGTTTCATTTCATTGTTTAAAATATTTTACTGACAATTTAATGATCAGAACATCAATAACAATAATAATAGTATCAATAGCAATAGTATTAATAAGAAAAACACATTTTCCTGCCAATTCAAGGAATGGGGAAATCAGGATCGGTAACTAGGGCATACTGTTAGATTCCTTGCCAGCTGAGCACATGTGGAGCCATCTGTATGTAACAAAATTCACCAAAAATTACAGGGGACAGAACATAAAACCGGGGCGAATGGGTCAACAAGGACATGTCATCTGTCTATCTTGTGTGCCAATTAGATACAAGCTAGGTAGTGGAAAGAAAGCCTCACACCCTGAATTTTAATTAACATATTGAATACAATGTGTGGAAGATTAGAGATGAATAGGATGGTCAGAAAAAATTAAGTAAGTTTATCATGCCCTGGATAATAATGTGGTTTCAGATTGTATGGGATGAAGCCAAGAAGAAATGGGTAAATCAGGATGGAGAGGAGGAAGTAGCAGCACCACCCCCTCCTCCACCAAAGAGTCCTTTAAGTGGCAGTAGTGGACCAACTGTTATGAAAATGAGAGGATTGAAAAGTAAGCCCAATTGGTATCTTAGACTCCATCATTTTCATGTCTCAGATATTTTCCTTGGCTATTTTTAGATATTGTTGGTGAGTAAAAAGTTAAGAAGGAATTGTTTAATTACAGAATCACGATATGTCAATACAGAGAAGGATGCCCTGCAGGCTAACTCAGGTGGCATAAATCCAAACCTCATGATGCCTCAAGTAGCCCCTCCTCCTCCGGGTTCAGTATTAGCTCCTCAGTTCATGGTTCCAGAGCCTAAGGACAACTACGATGACATACATCCTCAGACAGCAACAACTCATCAGCAAGAACCTCAGCAACCTGTTCCACAACAGCAGAAGCCACCGGTTGCTCTGCCTCCAGAAGTATCTCAAGTAAGACATTTTTGTATCTGATTAATATTCAAACAACTTCAAAACAAATAAGAGCATGCTGCAGTATAGTGCAT